TGGTCCACCCCTTGTGCTGTCTGTGACTCCAGCTAAATGCAGGGCTTCAAGTGCAGATACTTCCTGGTCCATTCATTCTGGGAACACAGTCCCAATTTCTTCTCAGTCTAGAGCCAATGATCTCAGCATCTGTGATGGACCAGCTTTGTGATCTGTGCTTATACCCAGCTGAATCTGGCAAACTGCTGCCCTAATTCCAACAGTTGCTCTCCTGATGTGTGGCCCCCTTCTTTTTCTTTCCCTCTTTGTCTGTTGCCCCTCTGTTTAGTTGCTTTCACCTCATGTTATCACACACAATAAATGGGCAGAGAGCAATGCTTCCTTCCATTGACCTTGATCTCACCAGTCAATAGACACAAGCCTTATGGCTTATTCTATAGAAGGTTTCTATAGAAATATAATACAATTCAAAATGGTTTAGACTCATTTTCACTCTAAATCTGATGTTTCAAACTACAAACTAAATCTATAAAAAGCACTGGGAGAGATAATCTACAAGTTAAGTATTTGAATGACATATATCTTTCTCTATGCCATCTGAATTCAAGGACATGTCTGATAGAAATGTATTACAAGATTTACATATTTAAAAATTACAATGTGTGTTTTTAAAAAATGCATGTTTAACAATGTGTGTTTTTTAAAAAATGCATGTTTAGCAACCATCTCTGATTTAGTCAATTAACCACAGTTAAACTAATGGGTTAGTGTCATTTGTGCAATTGGCTATGATATATTATAGCTTGGCAAAATGATATATTATTGTTTGCCAAACAAAATCTGCCTATTTGTTGCAGACATTAGAGAAGCTGTTGAGGGCCCCTTTCCTCTCAATAAATAAATAAATAAATTTATTAAATTTATATGACACATATCTCACTCTGCAAAGTGACTCTGGATGGCTTACAATTAAAATAATAAATATTAAAATCATAATGTTAGGTACAAGAATAGGAAACTAAAGGCAAAATGCACGAGATAAGTACATGGGATATGGACAAATCAACAGGGCTTTTGATGGTGGCTTCTACTCTAGGGAACATCTTATCCTAAGAAGTGTGAATAGTTACAATTTTCTTGCTTTCTGGGAGCAAGTTAAACTAATCCTGTTTCAGAACACTTTGGTGATATTTAGGCAATCAGAGTGATTTGTAGGTAATACCCACATAAGATGAAAAATCAAGAGATGGTCATTTTTATGGAGTAAAATCGAGATGTGCGACTTTTCTAAGCTCATGGATTGAATTCTATTGAATAAAGAAATTTGTTTTGGTTTACTTCAAATGTAGTCAAAATTAAATCTAATTACAATATTAAAAGTATTCTCCAGTAAAGTGTTTTAAAATGCCCTCTTCTGTGATATTAAAAAGTGTAATGAAGTAAGAACTTTTAGGGACCAACCCAAATAAGACCAACCCAATATTGTGCATTTCTGGAAAAAAAAACACATGATTTCCCCCAATTCCATGTGCAAAAACTAATCAAACTGATGACTGAATTTTACTTCAATGCTAGCAAAAGAATAGCATTCTTCATTACACCTGCATGGAGGAATTTGGCTCTGGCCTTGAAAAGGAGATGGGAGAGGGAAAATAATTAATCATGGGAAAGTAGAAAGCATGAGAAAAATACTCAGATCAGCCCCACCTTGACCTAGTTGTCCTTTTAAGATTCTGCTAAATGCATTTTTGAAATAAAATAGCATTCTTGCAATTCCAATGTGTCTGTTTCTTGACCTAGCCAATCTCAAAAGGCTGACATCCTGATGGCAACAGGTAACAAATCAAATCCTACATTATACATACCTTTCTTTTAACACTTTGCATTCCTTCTCTATACCTTACCTCCTGCTACCTTAAGCAACTTCCTTATTCAAAGAACAGGGCTGGCTCTTCCCTTCACAAAGAGATGGGCTACCTGTAGCAAAATTCACCTGCAGAGTATCTTTAATAAAACAAGAATAAAGAGCTTAAAATAAAATAAGGAATAATTGATCTATTTTTGCTTATGTTTATTTTGTTTCTGCTGTGACAAACCACATTTCCGGAAACTCAAACATTGTGTTTGAACTATCATAGCAACATTTATTACTAATATTTTCCCCTTAGCAGCTGATTCCTTGCTGCAGTTGGAGATCAAGGATTTCATGGAGGTCACAAGAGATAACATCATGGGTACTACAAGTAATTGAGTGGGTTTCAGCGAAAGCCCTTCCTATCTTGTGTTCCCACGTGAGTGGGTCTTGTTAAGGCAAGAATAAAGTGCTGAATATCCTAAAAGCCTAGATGGCTTTTGGCTTAGATCCCATTGATTGGAGCAATGTACTTTTGGCTATAGTCCACAGTAGCATTTAAGTTTAATTTACTTACAAGTTTAATTAAGAAGTTAAGCAGTCCCTCGTTGCTTTTTCTTCTAAGGTGCTAAATTGGTTGCCCAGTCCTTGAACTGTTCTGTTGGCAGAAGCCCTGCAAAACTAAGTGGAGCACTTAAAGGACTGGGGCATTCCTACTTAAACACTGCAATGGGGATAAAAGTCTTGTTGATTTTTAAGACCAGAATGACAGGACCAACTAAAAGGAAAGTATGGGTATATGGAACAGGCGTCAAGCTTTGCAAGATTGTGAATTGATGGAGGATAAACCTGTATTCATACACCGTGCTGCATTAAACTAAACCATGATGTGTGGAATATTGTATGGTCAATCATATGCAAAGATGTAAGCCACACAGAGAGCATTAAGCCTAGGGAAAACAAACTATATTATGGCTTAGCAAAAATGTGCACATGTAGGCTAAATTTCTCAGCAGAAGAATGCTATGGGTATTCACAAGAAAATTTCTGAATTCTGGTAGTTGAGGAGCATGTCAAGTGGAGCTTTCTTTATAGACAAATGTAATGTTTAGTATGGTGTATGAACAGAATGGAGGCTTAATGCAATGTGTGAACCCAACTACTAAAGCAAATATTTTGTTCCCGCAGCAGTGAACATGAGCCCATTATAGGTAGAACTCAAGTTATAATCAAAATTGGGATTGAAATTTTGAAGTTATAACAGATTTAGAAAAAGCGACTTACGACCTGTCCTGAAGGTCACACAACTCTATAGCCAAATGATTGCAATTTGAGCGCTTGGCAACCAGCTCACCTTTACAATAGTTGCAGCATCTTGCAGTCACGTAATCAGGATTTATGATCTTCCCAGTTAGCTTCCAACAAGTCAGTTGGGGAAGCTGGATTCACTTAACATGATTTGCTTAACAACTGTAGTAAAAGTGGTCATAAAGTCAAGTCCAGTCAGTTCATGACTTGCTTAATAAAGGCATCATGGTACACTCAACATTCCAGTTGCAATTGTGATTATAAATTGAGGACTTTTCGTAATGCACTCACATTCACTGCTGCAGTAACAGAATGTTGGATTCACTGGTTGGATTCATACATTGTATTAACCTTCACTATGTTTACATGGCATACTAAAATTAACTGTGTGCAACCAGCAAGCACAACTAGACAGAAGCTTCTCACTCTTACTACTGGAATTTAGAAATTTTTTGAAAACCTGTCACTTTTGAAGGGCATTCAGAGATCATATAGAAAGATCTGGGTATGTAACGAGTTCCAGGTTCTCACAACTCATGTTCTGTGGTTTTATGATCAGAATATTATGATTGCTTATTGTTCCATTCATTGGATTATTATGATTTGCATGTATACTGCTTTATTGTGCGTTATGTTGCTGTTGTGAGTCATTTAGAGATTTGATAACTGCACTAGCATTTGTAATAAGTAATTCACATGATGGTTGTCATGTGTGACTGTAGTCAAGAGTTTTACCGTTGCAAGTTCAATGACAAGTCTGCCAAGTTCAGATTTTTTGAGTCTGTCCCATTACAGACTATAGATGTGCCTTTTATTCTTGCCTGTAGGGGCGTTTTAAAATAAATGTACTCAGGAAAAGGAATATAACCCCAACAGGGCAACCTTGTATTGTGTAAAGTAATACATGAAAAGGACATTTCCTTGAAAAGGAATTTTCAGTTCAATCCTTGGAAATGTAGGCTATTTAGCTTTTAGGATGAAAATATCTGGTGTTTGGATAACTATCATGTGGAGGAAAAGGTCAAACCACAACTCATTTCCCAAGCAAACTGTTTTCCAGCCAGAAATTTCTTTCAGAGAGAGAAGCATGGAAACACAGAAGTCCAAACTTAGGCTCTTCTCAGAACCAGGGCGGCAAAGGCTGTGTTCGCACAACCGGCTTCTCCTTGGCTAACACCGTTTACCTCAGTGATCCTACCTAACCCTAAGCAGGGTGCCTTCACACTAGAGCAGGCCCGACCCTTGCTCCCCGGGCACCCTCTGCGCTCTCCGCTGACCTCGCATTTCTTCGTGCTGGCCGGCAGGCGGCGAGACGAGGCTCCCGTTATCCCAGGCTGCTGGCAGCGATTGCGCCTCACCTGCCTGGGCCAGCGCGGCGACTCTTGTCTGCGGGGCGGCCGTTTCCTTTCCTCCTGGAAGCCTGCGGGTGACCCACATTCCGACGGCGCCACCGGGCTCTCGTCGTTGCGGCGAGAAAACGCGGCTAGGCGGGCTCCCGAGACGGCGGTGGGGTGGCGCTGTGGTGGCTGAGGAGAGGGTGAGTAAGCGGCAGGGGCTGGGGTAGGGTCACTTTTCCTTCAGATTCCCCCCCCCCTTCTTTCTCGTTGCAGCTGCGGAAATATCTGAATCCTGGATTTCAGACCCTTGGCATACCCCCCCCCCTTTAAACCTTTTTCTTTGCATCTTTGCATCTCAGCGCTGCGTCGAAATGATGCGTGCATTATTGCAGCGGGCAGCGCAAGCTATTTCATTCCCCACCGCAGCTGGCGTTGCTTGCATTGGAGGCGGTGGGGGGGGGGGGCTTTCGCCTCCTTTTCTTTCTAGCAGCCGAGCAGGCTGAGGCTGCTGTTGCTGGTGATGGTGTTGCTCTCTGGCGGGCGGGGGGGACTTTAAACCCCAGCGTTGGTCGCCTAGCGACCAGCAATCAATTAATCATAAGGAGCGGCGCGAGCTCCTGGGGCGCACACGGTGCACCCCGCGCCCGGTTCCACCATCTGGACATCCGAGCCCGCAGAAGGGAGGAGGAGGGGCGGCGGGGGCATTGCGGTTATTGATTGTAGCTTTGGGGCATCCGTCGTTCCTGCACGGCCCGCTGTGGCAGAGTGGTTTTCCCTAGACGATTCCGGGATATTGGCGGATTTTCACCGTGGCTGTGCTTAGGGGGAGAGGGGGGAAAAGAAGGGATTACACTTTGCCTCCAAAAGATTCCCCCCCCCCGCCGCCGCCGTTTAGCAAAGGTGGGAAAGAGGCCCTGAGGAAGGTGAGTACCGAGGGAAAACGGACCTTCCTTTTTTGTATTATTTGCTGGTGGGTTTTTTTATTATTATTATTTCCGTTTAATTCACACGTTGCGTTTCTGGGGCGCTGTCAGAACTGACCGTTTTCGGAAGGCGATCCTAGGCGTGCTTTATACCTGGCAGAAAATCCCTGATCTTCAATGCAAGGTGCTTCTGGATAGCTGTGGATAGGGCTGTGCTAGCACTGTGGCATAAATATTTTCCTCCAGCCAGGGGAGGTTAGAGTGTCATGAATACGTTTTTCATTTATTATTGATTGCCTCTTGATTCCGATGAGGGGTTGTGAAATAAATAACGTGACACTTGATCTCTACAAAATAAAATAGGAATAAAAGAAAGCAGATCTGACTTAAAAACCCATCAAGAGAAAGAATACGGTATTGGGACAGGAACACAATAAGGCAGGTGAGTTTAAGGTGCTGTCTGACTCCTGACTACGTTTGTTTCAACCGATTTTTAAAAAGGACAACTTTAGTGCTCAAAGGAGAGTATCTTTTTTCTTCCTCCTCCTCCTGTTTGCCATAAGAGAAAAAGAGACATGCTTTGCATAAAATTATTTAGGACATTTACTTTGTATCAGTATACTGAAAAGGTTCTAAGACTAACAGATCTGGGGTGCAAAAATCTAGATTACCAATAATGGTAATTTATTTTGATAGCAAAATAAATGCTTCTATCTAAAGTTTCCTGGATTTTGCATCTCAGATCCAGTTGTTCTAATTAAACTATAGTTTGATACCATAGCTGGTTGTGAAATGGCTATCTCAAGATTTCTGGGTGGTTTGTTTATGCAGTGGCTCTGAAGAGCTTCTGTTGTAGAACTGAAATGGTGGCTGTGTTCTCACAATACATTGTTCTGTAAGGTAACCATGATTTGTTCAGATAAGTAACATCCCACTTTTGAACCATACATCAACCACATAGGTTGAATTTACAATATACAAAGCATTCATATGTTGCAGTAAGCCACTTAGCTAAACCATGGTTGAAAATGTTACAAGTCAAGATATTGGGTTCACTCAATATCTTAAACCAAAATCAGTCAAATCCCACATATGACTTAGCTCAATGGTGTTCAATCAACTAGAGTTCTGGGTAAGTTTGTGTAGGACTGCAGCTAAATCCTATGGCAGTTTACTGATAATTAAATCCCACATTGGTCACAATATAAACTTATCTATCCTGTGTATTTCAATGGGACATACCCATAAATTAAACTTCAGTGAGGTAGATTCTGTGTAGAAGAAGAGGCAGAGTCTTCAGGTGGAGTTAAGAGAGTTATCATTCTGGAATCGTTATGTTGCCACAAGCAATCCAAGTCCAACACTCCTTGAATTCCATTGACTCTTATCTAGCACCAATTTAGTGCTGACCATTAGCTGACCAGATTCTTGTGTATAGGCCTGAGCAATAAATCTTCTAAACTAGAACTTAACATGTGATTCTGATTCCTTGTGCCTGACATTGGTCCCAAAGCAGTGTGAAATGTGTCTCTTTGCTTAACATCCCAATTTTGCTGTGCCTGGTTTTACTCCTCTTTACAAACACAAAAGAAGAGAGTGGCCAATACTAGTGATCCCTGGGAAGATGTCAAGGCCTCCCTGGCCTCTGCTGGAGCTCTGCTTGCTGAAACAACAGCTGACTTGAGAACAGTTGTGGATGGCAAAGTAATACCAACTGCAGCTTTACTCCTACTTGTTTCTTTTTCTCCATAATCCACTCCAGCACTAAGTATATGAGCTGCAGAAATCCAGGTGACTCCCAGGTGTGGAAGCAAAAACTTATTTATGAAGTAACATAATACCAGAGCAAATAAAACCCGAACAAATAAAACCCTAGAACAGTGATGGCAAACCTTTTAGAGACCGAGTGCCCAAAAACTGTCCCTGTCCCTGCCCCACACCCACTCTGCCCCACCCTGCCTGCCCGCAGGGCCACTCATCGCCTCCAGGGCACGCCGCAGATCGCCCAGGCAGCCCAGCAGCACCCTGGAGGCCATGCCCTCAGCCCACGCCCTGCAGTATCAACTGTGTGTGTTGGGGCGTGAAGGCAGAGTTTTGTCTACGCTGCCTGGTTGCCATGTCCTTGGTTGCGCTGCTCCGTGTGGACCACGCTCAGGGGCGACTCTCCTCCAGGGAGGCTGCTGATGAGGGGGTCGTGGGCAGAGGCAAGTCTGGGGCAACAGCATGTGTGCCCACAGAGAGGGCTCCAAGTGCCGCCTCTGGCAACTGTGCCATAGGTTCACCATCACTGCCCTAGAGGATCAATCAATCAGAATAGAGCTGGAAAGGATCTTGGAGGTCTTCTAGTCCAGCCCCCTGCTCAAGCAGGAGAACCTATATCATTTCAGACAAGTGACTGTCCGGTCTCTTCTTAAAAACCTCCAGTGATGGAGCACCCACAATTGCTGAAGGCCAGCTGTTCCACTGGTTAATTGTCCTCACTGTTAGGAAGTTTCTCCTTAATTCCAGGTTGCTTCTCTCCTTGATTAGTTTCCATAATTCTTTGATTCTACGATATAACCGTGATAATTTTGACATGTCTAACCAGAAAATATACATTGCAACATTATTCTGAAATTAACTACTTATTAGCTAATACAGTGTACACAGTTCACAGTGATGAACTGGGTTTATTGTATGGCTGAGGATCTTTTCTGCATTTGTTTTTAAACATTGCAATAAAATTATGTTGAGGAAACAAAGAGAAATGGAGAATTCTCTCTGCTATCATCTAGTGATTATCCAGATGTTTGGGGCTCAGTTGCCACAGCCAGCCCTGCAGAACCAGAATTGTCAAAGACATGGGCTGAGGAATAGGCAGGAAGCAGGGTGCCAGAGGTTCTGTACTTATGCCTCCAAAGCTTCTGCCTTCCTTCTTTTTAAGCTGCTATAAGCATTCCATTCCTAAATAATTTAGATTCCAGTATTAAACTTAATGGGAAGTGAATGTAATTTATATTACAGTTCTTTAAAACTGGGTATCAAGCTGTGTGGATTCTTCAGTTACAACAGTTCAGTGTCCCCAGAAGAGATGTGGCTGTTCCTCTGACAGGGAGTTTTGACAGGCACTTTCCCTCACATCTGTTGATGACGAGACCTTCAGAGGAGACCTGATGAAATCTTCAGAATTTCTCTTGGATCTGTGGATAGTGAAGATAGTGAAGAAATATTTCTCCCCAAACACCAACTAAATTATAACGTCGGGAGCTGAGTATTTACTGGCCACTTGCCCTTCCTGACACCTACGTGGAGTTCGCAGCAGATATTTTCTCTTTGTGGCCTACTACAGAAATATCTGTCACTGCCTAGGATTGAATTCTCAACCTTAAAAAATGAAAATTAGAATATTTTGGACATGTGATGCGACACCCAGAAAAATACAGCATAGTCCATTTAATCCTCCAGGGAAAGATTAAAGGCAAACTAGGTTCAGGCAGAAGAAGAACATTGTGGCTTCAAAATCTAAGGGATTGGTTTGGACAAAACTCAGCAGCACTTTTTCGATAAAACAGGATTGCCAACATCCGATAAAGGATATGGCACAAGAAGAAGAATGAATGAATGGAAGGAGAGCATCTTCACCTCTAGGCCACCACTATGAATTATGTCAATATGTACCAGTCAAAAATCATTTTAAAAATTATAAAATTCAACCATTAAAAACAGTACCAGTCAATGCTAATGTGCCATCATCTAATCTCCCAATGCTTGTCAGGTCTTCAACCCTTACAGAAAGTTAAAAAAGCGGAGGCCTGACAAACTTCAGAAGATAGTGTTCCATAAGGCAGGGGCTGCCACAGAAAAAGCATCCTTCCTAGTCCCCATTCAGTGGCAATATTTAGTGGAAGGGACTCGGACCGTGCTCGTCCTATCTAACCTGATAGGACGGGGAGATGTCCTTAGGGAAAGGCAGTCCTGTAGATATCCTAGCTCTGTGTCATACAGGACTTTAAAGATGATGACCAGCACCTTAAATTGCACACGTATAGAAATCTGAAGCCACTGCAGTTAGTGCAACAGAAGTGTTACATGGGCAAACCTAGGAGCTCCCATTGCTATGTGCTCTGCTGTATTCTGGACCAGTGAAATTTCTGGGTGATCTTCAAGGGCATCCCCATATAGAGCACATTGCAGTTATCCAGTTGGGAGGTGACCAAGGCATTAGTGAATGTGAGCAAGGCCTCCCTATCCAGGAAAGGGCATTATAGGGTACATCTGATGAATTTGTGCAAAGGTCACCCTAGCCACAGTTGCATATGTTCTTAGAGAAGCAATAGGTAAGTAAGGCAGTATCCAGGTTATCTTGTTCAGCTGGATGTATTTAGATTGTGCTGATGGTGTGGCATCTCCAAGCTTAAGTGGAACAGTTGATGGGTGTGTAACAAAAGCTCCAGTGAGATAGAATGGAACCAGCCTCCATCTAAGTTATGACAATACCAAATATGAGCTCCACTTCTAGGGAGAGTTTGTCTCCCTATGAGAAAGCAAGCAAGCAGGAGCTTCTAAGAACAAGAACAATTGTTTCATCCTGTGAAAAATTACACATTTTGCTGTAGCTCTTGATGGTAGAATTTATGAGCTGCTAAGTTTCCTTTTCATAAAAGTTCAAAAGAGAAGGTGGAGGAGTTTGATGCCATATGGATTGTACATTTTTTTCCAGTTCTAGGACTGAATGAAAACTATACACACAAACATGCATGCATCCATTTATCTGTAAGACAAGACCACTACTTGGTTTCTTGCAAATCAGTATTTCTCAAAGCAACCTATATTTCCCTAGAACATGTCAAATTAAGGAAGGCTTATCTGTAGCATAACTAAATGAGAAATGAGCTATTCCTTTTTTTTTTCTTGGTTTAAGTTTGAAGTTTGTTGTCCTAAGTGAGTTGGTTTCTCCAATGTCTATGGAGGGGATGTCACCTGCCCACAGTCCCTTTGTGGTAGCTTTGCCCTTCCCCTCT